CCCCCGGGACCGCCACTCCCTCGTCTGCGTCGAGTGAAGCCGGCGCGAGCCCGGCCGGAGCGGCTGCAGGGAAACCGACACAGAAACCAGCCCCGCACCCAGTAGATGACGCCCGCAGTGACCTGTTAGCAGCCATCCGGCAGGGTAAGTTATGGGAACAAAGGTGAAAGACATCCAATGCAATTCTTGACAAAGACATTTACTGCCATTTCCTAGCACATTTTTGTCATGATTTTATACTTTTACAGTGTTTTAAACACTTTAAATAACCCCAAAACATGCTGAGTTAGTTTATTTTTGGTACCAGCAATTCATAGCGAGGACCAGGCTACAATAGCAAACAAGCATGCTGAAGCAACCATTTTCCATCAGCGACATTGCATTTTTGTCTCACAGATCAGTATGCTATGGGATAGGGTTGATTCAACTTACTGCATTAAAAGAATGACCAGAAATTCAACTGATGATACAAACCTACTTCTTACATGAACTGTTTTTGATCGTTCATTTTCCTGTTTCGCAGGGATCCAACTCAAGAAGGCCGAGAAGAAAGAGCGAGAGGAGAAGGATCGTCAGACGACCGCCATGCCGCACGATGTGGCCTCCATCTTGGCTCGCCGCATGGCCGTGCAGTACAGTGATTCTGAGTCAGAGGGAGGCTCGAGCTACGGGGACGATGGTGCTTGGGAGGACGATTAAGGCTTGGACTGACAAGTTACAGGGCTAGGAAAAAAAATGTTGTGCTTCCTGTTTCCCGACCGACCCTTGAAAACCGTTGCAAGGGACATAAGTCATTAAATTTTTCGAGCTCTATGATCTGACACCTGGGTGATAAAATGTTGTACAATTGGTTTCTTTCTAACATTGACATTGAAAATAAAAGTGTCCTGAGGTCTAAAACAAGAAAAAAGATAATCCCTACCTACTGACCCTAATATTTTCAGGACTGAAACAGGAAACACAGCATTTTTTTTCCTTGGCCTAAAGGCTTGGACTGACAAGTTTCAGTTCTGAGATTTCTAGTGAACATATTTGTATGGGCTTCCCTTGCATGTTAATTAAGCCCAAAGCTTAAACCAATGGCTTTCAGTGTAGAAGAAATTCATATAAGCACATTGTACCTTAATGACATCATATAACACTGTTCAGAAGCAATGAGGTGCCACATTGGAGTGTAAATTAATAAACATACACTGACCATCATCGAAATTACTTTTACTGTGTTCGTTAGGAAATATGGGTGTCTGTTTAAAGTTAAAACTTTTGGTCCAACACAAATAATTCTCTCACCTAGCGCTTTCGACCAGTCACTCTGGTCTTCCTCAGTAGAGTGACCCAGTGACGTCACACTTCAAAGAAGCCATGTGACAAGCTTCACTGGGTCAGTCTACTGAGGAAGACCAGAGTGACTGGTTGAAAGCTCTAGGTGAGAGAATTTTTTGTGTTGGACCAAAAGTTTCAACTTTAAACATGTAACTACCAACACAGATGGACTTTCATGCTAAGTATGGGTGTCAATTAATGATAATACACACCTGTCCAAAGTGCACATTGTATACCTGCACCTGTGAACTGAATTTTGAACATTGTTGCCTCTGTGAAAAGTGATATACACCTACACGAGCACCAAAATCAAAGATTTGTACGAAGATAATCTGACGACATGCAATGGTGTGAGACTTGACGCTCTGCTTTCACTGTCCCCAAAGTGTGACTGTAGTTACAAGTGTTCTCACGAGGTCGCTATTTTGATGAAAATCAGCTTGAAATTGGGTCTTTGAGCAGCTTACTAGTTAATTGTACAGTTTGACAAGTATTAGGTCAACGACTTCTTGGTGCATGATAATAAGGAATATGGTTGCAGCACCGATGGTAGATGATAGGTGGCACTTTTGAAATACTGTACAATGACAACAGTGCTGTCCATAGGTGAAAGAAGATAGGTGAGACTGTAGTATAATGGTAAAGGATCTTGTTCCAGTTTTTAAAGACAAGCATCAACAAGTAAAAGTTTCTTTAAAATATAAGAAGCCCCTTGTTAATAGATCTATTGCTTTAAGATAGCTAGAAATATATTGTAGACTGCTGGCGCAAGTGATATAAGTACACAATACAAGTTTCATTACTTTGGCAATCTTGTTTTCCTTTCAATCCCTGGTATCTTCTACTCTACTGCATTCATTGCAAAGTCATAAAGGAAGGTATGTCAAAGCCAAAAGTTTCTTTGGCTGTAGATAGCACTACTGAAACAGTGTACATGGAATCATTGTTCACATGTCCCCCTGCTCTTAATGTCAATCTGCACAAAAATCCCCTTATGTCCCCAATGTTATCTAATAGACCTGTGAATGTATAGTACTACAGGCACTATACTATGGACTGTATTCAGCCCCATTGATATAATTATGTGATTATTATACTTTCTGTTCATTTTAAGGTGGGGAAGTTGGATCATCAGTCTGTTTAAATGATGCAGACTTTGACTTTTTTTATTGAAATATGTATATGTAATATTCATACATAAGTTTGAGGGATAAATTATGAAGCATTAAGATCAGAATTATTGGTTTGGTATGTTTTGTTAGGTCCTTTCATACATGACATTCTGAAATGGAGAATCCTCTGGTTTAAAACCCTCTGTGAGGGTTGTTGAAAAAATTATGTTTATCTTCTTCTTTCCTATGATAAATATAATGGCTATGGGGCACATGTAACACTGACAGTATTCAATAAAACAACATTAATCCATTTTCGTGGTCTTTATTCTTGTTGATAATTGTGTAATGTACATACATGTACATACTTGGTAAGGTGACATACAAATGTAACCATATATTGGAACATACACGTCCACGCACCTTGAAATGTGACAAGTCTGAATGATTATAACATCTAGGTGACAGATACAGAAATCATGAATTTGTCAATGCTAGTTTTTTTATGTCACAGCGACTAAATGCTAATCCACCCCATATTCATTAGCACTTTAGCATGCAGAGCCATACTTTGGCAATACCTTTGCCTTGTGATCCCAAGTCCAAAGTAGCTGCATGGGAGAATACAGATGATGCACAGACAAGCCCACATACCTACACCAAAACTTGTAATTAGAAATTAAAACAGGTAAAAGCAGCCACTCTCTTATTGGCCAGACTGCCAATTGCCATGCTCTTATTGGTTGAACTACTAATGGCCAATTAATGGTCATTTCATATAACATCTACCTAGAACAAATCATGACAGACGCGCTGGAGAACCACCATGGCACAGTTAGTATAGGTGGTAGGGTCGTAACCAACCTGCGCTTTGCAGACGATATAGATGGGCTGGCAGGAGGGGAACAGGAACTGGCCAACTTAGTGGAATCACTGGACACCACCTCTAGGAGGTATGGAATGGAGATCAGCGCAGAGAAAACCAAACTGATGTCAAACAATGACAAGCCAATCACGACCAAGGTAGCAGTGAACCAGGAAGAACTCCAAACAGTGGACCAGTTTAAGTACCTCGGATCCATTATTAGTAAGGAGGGATCAAAGGCAGAAGTTATATCAAGAGCGGCTCAGACAGCAGCAGCTATGGCAAGGCTGCGACCCATCTGGAGAGACAGGAACATCAGTCTAAAGTCCAAGGTTAGACTGCTACGGGCACTGGTAATTTCCATATTCCTCTACGCATGTGAGGCTTGGACTCTGACAGCCGAACTGCAAAGGAGGATACTGGCAGTGGAGATGAGGTGTTACAGAATACTCTTAAATGTAACGTACAAGGACCACGTTACAAACACAGAAGTCAGGAACATCATTAAACAAGCTACCGGAAGAAAACACCTTGAAGATCTCCTTAGCATTATTAAGAGAAGAAAGTTAAAATGGTACGGTCATGTGACGAGAAGTAAAGGCCTATCCAAAGTTATCCTACAAGGAACAGTACCAGGGAAGAGAAAGAGAGGGAGACAGAGGAAGAAATGGGACGACAACGTCAAGGAGTGGACCGGCTTGCCCCTTGCCAGTGCCCAGGCGCTGGCTCATGACAGGGAGGGATGGAGGAAGGCAGTGTGCTCAGCCACTAGGTGCCCCCACGACCACCCCCGGTCAAGGGACCGGTAAGACGGTAAAGACTAATGGCCAGCTGTCATTGTTTGAAATGCCAACTGCCATTCTTTCATTGGTCAGACTGCTAACTGCCATGTTCTCATTGGTTGACTACTAACTGCCATGCTCTCATTGGTCAGGCTGCTGTCATGTTCCATTGATTGAAATGCTAATTGTGATGGACTATAACATAACTTCTACAAGTATCTCATTCTGGATCTGTCCACAAAGAATCAAGCCACCAAGAATCTCACCAACAACAGGTAATTTCTTTTCTCTCCGTTTTCTATATACTTGTGCATTGCAGAAACTATGTACATGGGTAAATTTGCGTGGACGAGAAACAATGTCCTTGGTGCAGACAAAAATGTGGAATACTAGTACATGCTACTGCCCAAACATACAAAACCTTGTATTATATACATACAGTTGTATCATTTTAACCCAATGATTTTTCTAGCCCTTGACTTGAGTATTCTATGGTGGCTGCAAAAGCAAATGAGTCACAAATGATTTTTTAATATCTCACCCTTTCCTGTTCCTTCCTTATTTACATATAAAAGCATATCTACAGAATTAGTTTGGATTTTCTCAGTGTTGCACCCCTATGTTTTGACACCCCTTTCTGTTTTATAACTTGTCCTATCTGATTCAGTCAAGTGTTTGAATGTCAAGAAACAAAATGACCAGTAACAGAACAACATGAAAATACAGAGATGCAAATTAAAAGCACTCTGATGAAACAAAACAAAAACATATAATATGTATATCAATATAATACAACAAGGTCAGTAATTAAAAGCATTTGCAATGTTTGTTGATGCTACCAAATAAAACATACATGAATGAGAATAGTTGTAACAAGTATTATTGGAAGGTGATAGAATAATGTATACAAAAACTCATAGCTTCTTTATCTACATTCCAACCCTAAGTACTAATCTCCAAGCAGATCCTTGGGTGGCAAAAGACAGTATCAAATTGGCCAGGCAGTATCCGTTGGCCAGAGGGGGTCCAATATGCCACCCAATTCTCTCTGGCCAATGGATACTGCCTGGCCAATTTGATACTGTCTTTTGCCACCCTAGGATCTGCTTGAAGACTACCTAAACACCCCTCTCCCCCATCATGAGTTCTCCCAGTGTGTGTTAATCCACACTAACACATGACAACAGCCGACATCCAAGCGCGTGTCCTGTAGAAATCTACCAGTAGAAAGCCTCTTTGGTCTACCAGGACCGGATTCTCTGACTTGAACCTCAACTTGACTGCCAACCCTCTCTACATCTGTCTCCTTGAAGTAATGCTGGTTAAAAGTCCTGACAGTGTTGTGTCCGGGGTTGAGTGAGTCCGTGTCTGGGACCAGGTCGTGGTTGTACATGCCGACTAGGCGGTAGTTTTGGTTGTGCAGCTGGTGGAGCAGGCTGTACCAATATCGCACCACCTGCAGGGGGGATCCCATCACCTGAGGGGCAGGGAAAACAGCAAAATGAACAACTCTCGCTACGAAGTATCTCTCCAAATATATTTTTTTGTAATGGGTTTGTGTGGTGTAACAGCAGAGCATTCAGCTAAGAACCAAGAGGTCCCGGGTTCAAATCCTGCCGGCATGCCAAGTCACCAACCTTGTGACCTGGGAAAGGCACTTAATTCAGGTGAAAATGGTCATTATCATGATCATGGGCATTAAAGGAAAACAAACAAACAAACAAATATTACAAGTCAAGCAATTGTGTTGTCTGCATAATCTCTAAACAGATCTTTTGGTGGCTACAAGACAGTCTCAAATTGGCCAGGCAGTTACCCATTTGCCGGCCGAAGCACTAAAAAAGATACCAGTACAAAAGATAAAGCCTGATAAAAAATGTCAAAAAAGGAAAGGTAAAAAAAAACAGCTGAAAGAGCCAAAGCCTAAACCTCTGCTTAGAAAGTATAATCTGCAAAGATCTCTGATATTACATTCTAATATTACATTGTTGCATGTAATATGCAATACTGTTATGTCTTTTTAAAGACTTTAAAGTCTAAACAAGCCAATTTGTGCCCAAGTTTCATGTTTGTGATAAAAATAACGCATATTTACCCATCAAGAATGAAACAAAAACTTGACAAGTTTGTCAAAATGCGCGTCACTAGACAAACGTCTCCCGTGCAGCAGCGCCGCCTACCTGAAAGCCGCTCCAGTGCAGATGCACCTCCACCAGTAGCTGGTGAATCCGGGACATCGCGCCTTCCAGTAACATGTCCTCCAGGACTTTCCACTCCAGACCCTCCAAATCCATCCGCACTACGTCAACCTGAAGATGACATGTAAATTAATGGTAAAGTTTTAGGGTTAGGAAGAATCTGACTTCACTTTTTCTTTCCAGCAACACAGTTGTCCTAGAAAAACAGGTTTGGGCGTATTTTACCGCCAGCATCGTCAATAATGACGTCCTCTGCTAGAAACACTTCCGGCATCACGCAAGCACAAGTCACCAAGAGTTAAATAAATATTTATTATACCTATAGAGACAATTGTCTCTCATGCAGCTGAACCAAGTGCAACCCCAAAATATGACTTTCTACTCGTTTCTTCTTCATAATCCAATTCTTGCTAGATTGTAGTCACAAAGCGCACGCGGTTCACATTCGTTTCATAAAACCATACCGTAACAGAACCGGTGGATTGCTCATTCTTTCAATGACGAAGACTCGAGTTGTACAGTCAAAATTAAAGTTTAAACTTGCTTCATAATGACATCTATGAATACAGATGAACTTTGAAGATAATACCGTACCGTGTTGTGTCCCAGGTCCCGCATGATCGAGGTGAAGCGGCGGGTGTGCCAGCGGCCCCCCTCCGGATCCCCCTCGTGGTGAGAGTCCCGCCAGTCCAGGGCGGCACGGTGCACCCACAACTCGTCTCCGACCTGTACAGACAAAACCACGGGAAACTTTATCAACCAATCCAAAATTCAACAAAAGTCAAATACAGTAGTGGTGTGTGAAAGTGTTAGCCAATGGTTCGATGCCACTGGTGACCATTCTCTATCTTTCTCTACCCACAACTCGTCTCCGACCTGTACAGACAAACCGCAACGGCAAACGTTAGAAAGAAAACGAGCAAACATCCAACAGATGTGAAATATTGGTGTGTAAGCCAATGGGACAATACCTTTTCAAATACAATGTACATGTAGCTTGTCGACATCTGCTGACTTTTCTTATGTCATACCTGGGCCGCGATAACGTTCGATACAGACAAACCAACGGCAAACGTTATAATTTGAAACCAACCTAAGATCCAACAAAAGTTTAGCCTGGAATCACGCCCTTTTAGCCTTGACGGCCGGATAGCGACGTTTATAGGAGCGACCAAAGCTAACAAGATGGACGAGATTCCAGCTGTTTCAGCTTGCCTGCTGGCCTTTCTTTTTGATGCTTTCTTCTCATCTCTGTCTAATGCTATCTTGTCCTCATGTTCTTTCGAGATCACTCCTCTTACTCGAAGACAGGTATTACAATAGTCTTTGCCATGTTCAACTGGAACCTTTACTTGTTCCTTGGAGCCTATCGGATTGATACCCAAGTTGACACTTGTTGCGTTGCAGTAACAGTTTATGATGTATACTATATAACGGTATATTAGCCAGTCTACCTGCTGATGTTCTTCTCCTTCCAAGTCAGGGTCGAACACGTGCACCTCGCAGCCCGTGTGCGCAAGCGCCAAGGCGAACGGGTCTTTGCGCTCCAGACTGTGGCATAAGAACAAAAGAGAAAAATATGAGGGGCGCATTTAGTAAGAACTGTACACTGCGTACTAAAATATCTGTTTTCGCACATTTTTGATGAAATGTACCACTTAATTGCTATATCAGAACCGTTGGGTTCCTGAATTAGCAATGTCGTTGTCACACCTGAAGGAATAGACCACACATTCCTCTGCTTGAGGGTTCCCCAGGGCTCCTCCATGGGCGTGGTCATAACACAGTCGCCATGGCGACGCCTCGTTCTGGTTTCCCCCGACCGGCGGCATTGGTCTCAAGTCCCCGCACGGAATCTGGACAAACATAAGAACAAACTTTTCATTAATAACTTCTTACTTCTGAAATAAAGTTGGTTTTAATTACAGAATTCCTTCCCCACGAAGGATATTATCTTCTTGGTGTCTATCTTTGTTTAGATGGCGTATTTAGACACATGACGAAATAATTTATGGTTTCAGGCACGTACTGTATATTTTGCCATGTCGTGGGATACTAGAAACAACATCTACCTTTAGTTCTAAACGTCTGTCATACCTTTCAATCAAAGTGGTGAGTGATTTTCAATGCAGTGTAACGTATATATATCTATCATGTCGATGATGTTAGTCTATGTTTAGATAAAAGCAACCGATTGTTATCATGATATGATACTAGTACTTATTTTGACTCCAATCTGAGACAGGTTCTATCGATATCATAAGTGTTGCTTTGTTTGCGTTTGCATGCCGTCTGCATCGCGCTTGCTATCGTCTGATTTAGCTGTCAATCACCGCCTGCGGTGCATGCTGGGAATATCAGAGAAGATGTACGACCAGCTGGGTGACATATGTCAGACGTGCGGCGTTCCATTTGACCCTGACCTTGTGAGGATGTCTCTTAAACTGTTATCAATACAGGGATTTCGAAGATAAGCGCAACAACGTCTGTTTCTGTGTCAGACGAGTGGAAATCTCAAAATAAACGGACGAGACAGAGGTCAGAAATGTCAGACAGATAAAGACCCACGCATTTGACCTTGTCAAGGGCCTCTTACATTCTTGTCAATCGGGAAAGATAACAGCAGGTCATTGCATCAGATCATAAATTTCCACAAAGTACAATATCTAGTATGAAGGCTGTCCTGGCTTCAACATCAATGGCATCCAAGCTATCTGGATTATAACGCCTTCGTTTGTCAAGGGCCTCTTATAGCCTGACTAAATCGCGCTCCTGGCGGCCGCTGCCCTAGGTTGCCGCCGAGAGCTTTGTATACACAGGCTAGGGCCTCTTATTACCTTCGCCAAGAAGGTTATGTTTTCAGAGGCGTTCGTGTGTCTGTCTGTCTGTCTGTCTGTGACCACGATAACTCGAGAAGGCTTAAATGGATTGTCTTCATACTTGGTAGGTGGGTAGGTCTTGATGAGACCTCAAAATGATTAGATTTTGGGCCCCCTGGCGGCTTGCTGTGGTACTGCAGCTGAACTTCCGGTTTTGATATCTCGTGATCTGGACATGCTAGGGTCACGAAATTTGGATGGTAGGCAGCTCTTGTGCTGGGGAAGAAGTGACGTAGGTTTGGACCCCCTAGCGGCATGCTCTGGAACTGCAGGAGCATTTCTTTTAAAAATATTCAAAAGAGGATAACTCAAGAACCGGTTAACGGATCGTCATGATTTTTGGTATGTAGGGAGCTTAAGTGACGCTTGACATAATTATGCGACAATTATGCAAATCTATATGTAATTTGCATAATTTATGAGGAAATTCTATGAATCAGCTGCATTACATTATAGGACTATTTAAGCTAGTGATACATGTAATTGAGAACAGGAGAAAAACAGGCAGATATTGATTATGTAAATTAACACTTAATTTGCATAATTGATGAGAAAATGTTATAATTCCATAATGGTAACTGCCTGGAATTTCATACTTGGGGTATTTGAAAGTTAAGTAAAGGTCAACATCATTAAACATAACTTATTCAAATGAGGACCTCATTTGCATAATTTATGAGGAAATGATAGAATGGCTTTCTTTGTTAAGATAAGGCTGTCTTTTGGTGGAGAATATGATCAACTGATATAATTCACGCAAATGAGGATCCTATTTGCATAATCAGGAGGAATAATCTTTGTCAGTCATAAAGATTAACATCACTTGGCGAAGGTATGAGATCGTTGAACTCTAGTATTCCTGATAAGATAACAGTAGGTCATTGCATAAGATCATAATTATATAAATTTCCACAAAGTATAATATCTAGTATGAAGGCTGTCCTGGCTTCAACATCAATGGCATCCAAGCTATCTGAATTATAACGCCTTCGACTGTCAAGACTCTAGGGCCTCTTATATTCTTGTCAATCGGGAAAGATAACCGTAGGTCATCGCTTCTGCGTCAGGTCATAATTTCTTGCAGATAAAACAGTGAACAACAAAGTTGAATGTCTGGTAATATGAAGGCTGTCCTGGCTTCAACTGCAACTTGTTCAATGGCTACCAAGATATCTGAACTGTCGCTTCTTATATTCTAGTCAATCGGGAAAGATAACAGATAGAAGGTCGTCGCTTCTGCGTCAGGTCATAAATTTCTTGAAGATAAAACAGTGGACAACTAAATTCAATATCTGGGATGAGGGTTGTCCTGGCTTCAATGTCAATGGCATCCAAGATATTCCACGATAGCGCGCGTTTCAGCTTCAAGAGACCTTTGTCGTACGAAACAGCTTTAAAAGTCACATTCGTCGAATTTTCGAAACTGCTTCGACGCACGCGGAATGCGTTCGAATTGTTCCATGAAACCTTTGGAATCCTGTGTGATAACCAAATAGAACCCCGTGTAAAATATAAAACGTAATCATGATGGACCTGTACTCACCAGTGTCTGGCTTGTACCTTAAGTTTACACTTAACAATATATTCTAGCTTGCAATGGATTGATTCTGCAGTATTTTGAGCGCATTTTAAGTAGAATATTTTCCAGTTTTAGATAAGTATTTAGGTCTGTACAAACAGCTGGATCACACTGATCTTTGTTTGTCCAAAGTCCATCCGGTTTTGAGCTGACCTCTCCCCTGTTTCTTATCTTTTGACTCTGTGAACGATGTAAGTATACGAGAAAAGTTTTGATAAACCTGTGGAGCTATGGCAGTTTGTTTAGCTTGGTGAATCTGTACAAATAAAGATACCGTACATCACATATGTCCCGATATATGTCAAGATGGTGATGATACGGTAAAGTACCACCATCTGTGGCACAGGAGAGAACCGTAAAATACTGAGTTCGCAACTTCTCACGTACCTGAATATGACTCGATATAAGTTGCCTCTGTGGGTGCCAGACTGTTTCCAGGGTCTAGCACAGGCCAGTTCTTCGGCTCCAGGGCTAACATACCCTTAAGAAAATTATATGTGTTTCTTGTGTCTCAAAATATGGTCTCAATACGTCATGTTCTTCTAGTCTTTCGTCTCTTGACGTTCACGTTGCAGTTCATATTGTCCAGCATCTACTGTCTTTAGCTTTGCTCCCGCAAGACGTCGCTTTTTATTCTCGATTGTAGTTTCCACCACAGACATGACAGAGAATCATGGTTTTGCCAGGAAAGTAGACGAAACACCAGAGGCAAAGTAGAGGAATTTTTGTCCGGTAATTACCGTTTGACAGGTGCAACAGCACCATTCAATAGAGATAACAGTTATAAGCTCTTTCATGGCCTTTCATAGCTGAATGGACTGATGAAGATGTAGTAACGTTACATGTAACGTTACATGTGGTACGATTACATGTGTACAAGGGACGCGATCTGTTTTTCATTGTCACTGGACGCCTGTCCTTTTTAGGCCTTTAAGAATCTCTTACGAGCAGCCACTGCCCATCGAAGACGGCGACCTTCGAGTTTGTTTCCATGAGAGTCAATGTTAGTTTAGGTTTCACGGCATTAGACTAAAACCCAGGGTAAACGCCACTGAAGGACACTGTGCGGTTGACTTAATTCTGACCACGAGGAATGTTTAAACATTTGCTGGCGGCAAATTTGGGCCTCAGTTCCCGCCGCTGGCCGGCTTGATCTTGGCGACCCGGCCTGACCTTGGTGACCTGTGCCACTTGACCTCCTCCTGCTAGCCCCTTGAGTATCAGCTGTGTTAGGATGTCTACAGACATAGACCACCCGGGGGTACGAGTCACTGCCACTGTTGCTTCTCCTATCGTAAATGATTTATGATATGCCTCAAGATACGTATGAAGTCTGAGACAGAGTGGGTGGGTGAGTGGGTGAGTGGGTGAGTGAGTGAGTGAGTGAGTGAGTGAGTGAGTGAGTGAGTGAGTGAGTGAGTGAGTGAGTGAGTGAGTGAGTGAGTGAGTGAGTGAGTGAGTGAGTGAGAGGGGAGAGGGAGAGAAAAAGAGACAGGGGACAGGAGAGAACTAAAAATCTGAAGATGACCAAAGGGGTATCCTTCCTTCAAATGTATCGACGCAGGTCAATATTTTTCGGGTCTCCAAATCCTATACCTGTATACCCTACCTAGACCCTGGTGGAAGCTAGCGATGTTTTCTTGGCTTTTTAGACCGCTGTAGTATAGCCTCATTCCAGCGACCGTCTTAAGTTAAAAAGCAAACCATCCAGGCTACAGCCGTTGCTACGATTGCCTCCGGAGCTTCCGAAGTTCGTTTAACTTTTGTTATTTGTTATTACCCTAGAAACCCTGTCGCCTTCTTTTCCCCCTTCTAATGTCCCTGGGGTACAGGTGTCACGGTCGCCCTTACAGAGGATCAACCTTAATAGGACTGAAGCCGCGACTTTTGGCACCAGGAATGCGCCAAGGAAAGCAGTTATCAGGAGACACATTCCTGGAGATGACGTCCCTGGTTATCCTGTAAATAACTGACTTTAACATATTTGCGGGTCCAGTGGAAGTAACCTGACTGGACAAGGTCGTCTGTCGGTGTTAGAACGCGAGGGGAGGGGGGCGGCGACAGAGAATGTTCGAAATCAGTGGATCTTGACATTACTGGCTCGAAGCACGCCCATGCCGTGAATTATTATTGTACATTAGATATACCCTGATATCCATTACAGTTTTCTTGGCAACTTGCACCACGTGAAGTGTCCAAACGGCACGGGAGAGCAGTAATTATGTCAGGCGATATTCTGTCATCATTACTTTCAGCCGTGATTTGTAACTGAGATCTCTTCTTAGGATTACTAGAGTCGTCCAAGGCTAGGAAAAACATAAAGATGGAACAGTATTTCTAGTTCTTTTCCGGACCATTTGAAATAGACTTGCCCCAACAAGTGGTTGCGTTTGCATTG